GTCCACAGCACTGCGTCTGAAAAGTACCCTTGACTCTCTATCAGTTCCATGAAGGAACCAAAAATGGGTTTTCCAATATCCAGCCAAGTAGTGATTTCTAAGGGAAAATAATGTTCCAGTTAGTGGTAGTAATTATTTTCGTGTTCCCAAAAGCATCAGATTTACCTGTGCACATGAGAACCGGTAAAAGTTCAACTGAAAAGAGACCACTGGAGCCCAGCTTGTTTCCTCTGATGCAGCAGGAGGTATGAGGCAGACCTCTGCGTACCATGTCATCAGCAGCCAGGATAACACAGTGGGGCCGGGATACACTCAACACTTTCCATTAGTTCTACTGCCTAACTTGCAGTTCAGCTTGCTTGCCCTTTCCAAAGTCTCAAATTAATAAAGTAAGATTTATTACCATAGAGAAAGAGGCCATCAAATGCCTTTCTCAGCCCTCACCATTCACTGGAATTTCCTTAGAATTTCAGCTTTTTAAAATAAGATTGAGCACGGATATATTGCAAATGCCTCAGGGAAGTATTCTGTTTACTCATTTGTATCCCACAGAAGATCAAAAAATCCTTGAGAACAGCTGACCTTGTTTCTCTCAATTACCATCTCTAGGGCCCAGCACAGAGTGTCAGAAACTTGGTAAACAGTTGTAGAATGAATAAGGAGTAACATGAAGATGTATAAACTAACCTATATCTTCGTGTGAATGAATTTCTTCAGGGCCTTTCCTGAGAAATTTTGGGTGGATCATCAGTTGCATAGGTTTTTTGGCTGTTTTTGTTGTTGTTGTTGTTGTTGTTGTTGTTGTTGTTGTTGTTGGGTTTTTTTGTTTTGTTTTTGTTTTGCATAGGAAGAGTTAAGATAGCCTGAAAAGAAGTAAGCCTGAGAAAGGCTCCTTTTCAGTTCTGTCTGGAAACATCATCCTACCGTGTATCAATCTAAAGGAACATGGTTCTTCAAAGGAAACCCCAGATTTTTGCTTAAGTGCCATATGAAATTATCTTGTTTCTCCATAGAAGTCCCTCTACAAAAATCTATTTCAATGAGACATTAACAATTGGCAATCGTTTATTGATAGCAAAGTAAGATCAAGAAACAGGCACCCTAATCTTTCAGACTTTTTAAGCCTTTTCTTTATTTTGAAAGAGACAGAGAGTGAGAAATTGCTCCAGTGCACACACAGGAGAGGGGTAGAGACAGACAGAATCCCAAGCAGGCCCTGTGCTGTCAGCAAGGAGCCCGACTTGGGGCTCCAACTCACAAACTGTGAGATCATGACCTTTCAAACTTCTTTTCCAACCCTAGAATGCCTGGAATAGTGCTCAGTCAATTAATGCTTGAATTGATATACAACATAAAGAATACTGAATTAGCAGGGGCGCCTGGGTGGCTCAGTCAGTTAAGCGTCTGACTTCTGCTCAGATCATAATCTCATGGTTCACAAGTTCGAGCCCTGAATCGGGCTCTGTGCTGACAGCTCAGAGCCTGCTTCATTCAGATCTTGTGTCTCCCTCCCTCTCTCTCTCTCTCTCTCTCTCTCTCTCTC